AGTCCAACCCCCTGCTCAAAGCAGGACCAATCCCCAATTTTTGCCCCAGATCCCTAAACGGCCCCCTCAAGGATTGAACTCACAACCCTGGGTTTAGCAGGCCAATGCTCAAACCACTGAGCTATCCCTCCCCCCGCAAAATAAATTGTTTCTATTTATGTTGCAGTTTTTACCATATATTCTGTCAATATCACAAGGTATAATATATTTGTCATCAACTTTTTTTTATACAGAGAATGGCCTGTACAATGTATCTTTTTATGGATAAGGGAGTTCAACAGAGAGAACATTTCTTGTCAAAAGGACTGGCTTACAATTCAGCCAGTTTAAGTAATTCAGCACTTTACTGGATGAGCTATAAGCAAGATTTGCTCCCACAGCTTGTCTCCTGGACCACGGAAAGGCCTCAGGATCTCTCCTCTCTCTTTTAAAGCCTAAATTTTACTTCATCAATGAAGCTGATAGAGGAATGCATTTTACTACAATGAAGTTGATGGAGAGTGCATTTTTCATCAGTGAAGAGAATATTTTAAACTACTAAATGTAATACTTTAATTTCATACACAGTCTCTTTGCCTCTAGTCCTGGATTTGTGATGCAATTCCAAGCACCCAGAACTATGAGCTCCAGGATCTGTTGAGAGGGGCTGGATTCGTGTCTGGGTATCAAAAGTGCCCAGGGACAGTGCTGAGGATCTCCTAAGCCTGTGAAAAAAAAGTACATATATTGCACTAGGAAATGTACACGCCTGCCCAGGGAACCTGCCTGCAGCATTGGTTAAAGTTTTCTTTGCCACCTAGTTTGGGTTGGTAATGCAGCATATAAAATTGCTTAACTGCTTGATCAAGAGGCTATTATTTTCAAAGTTACAAGAAGTTTGTGTGTGATGTGATGGAAATCTATAGTTAAAGAGTATAAACTATAGTAAGAAGAAACTTAACCTTAGACATTATGCTTATTTTAATTGCTAAGTATATTTAAAATTTTTTTACTATCTACAGAACAATCATGGTTTTTTTAGGAAAGCTGTGTGCCTCGTGAATAAAAGTTTGCAAATAAACTTATAACTGAGATAAACCATAAAGCCAGACTCAGCTTTTGAAGACATCTTTTAAGCTCTGTGAAACTCTTCCCTCTCTTCACAAGGACTGGAATTGCTGGATAAAACAACTTCTTTAATCATTAAAATCATAGCTGTCCTTTGAGTCAGAAGTACAGAAGTCTTCCTCACATATAATCTACGGCAGAGCGTAAAAATCAGAGTGGAAAGAAACATCATAACACAGCCTCAAAAAGGTCTCAAACATGCTGGTACTTGGTGGCAATGCTAGAAACTCAATTCTTCTTGTGTAAGGAACTTCTCTCTCTCCAGGACAAATTAGGCTGATGGGCTTGGATACACAAGTCTGATGGCATGAGTTTTGAAAGGTAGATGCAGAAGAAAAAAAGATTACTCAGAATGAGTCATTGCTACTCTCAGCTTCTAGAAAAGACTTTACATCTTAGATTTATGACAGGTTTTGATCAAAATTCAGCCACTGTTAGATACAAGAATATAAATTCACCCAAATGTGAGATTTCCAGCATTCTGTTATTCCTTAATGAAGAATTGGAATGCAGCTTAAATGGTAGTACCCTCGAGGTCCAAACTGCATCACTAGATAACCTTCGAGATTCCAGAAGTTAGACAAAACTAGATTTTCATCCACAAGGAGGTTCATCAATGCAGCCAAGATTGTGCATCATGGAAGGGTTGACACTTCCCCTACCTGGAAATATAACAACCGTTCATATATAATAAGCCTTAACAAGTTGCCCTTTTGAGCACTTTAGGGAGGTATGTCTCTTCTTCCTTTCAGTTAAAATTGCCTTCCTCGTAAAATCATTTCTGCCCTCAGGATGTCAGAGTCAGGAGTTCTCCCTATGACAGAATACTGCTTATTTTGGCCAGAAAAGATAGTTTGCAGAACCATGCCTCATTTCACTCACAGATCAAGGTACTTTGTTTGTACACCATGAGAACTTGCACGAATATTTCTGTCCTAATCTCTTGTACAGTATGGTGAAGGATGGCCCAGTGGTGAGGTACTAGCTTAGGATGCTGGTTCAGTTCCTGCTCTGCCACCGACTTCTTGTATGACCTTTGAGAAGTCAGTCTCTCTATGCCTCAGTGCCCTTTCTGGAAAATGAGGATACAGTACCTTCCTACTCTTAGGGGTGATAAGGATAAATACATTAACGATTGTGAGATATTTCGTTATTGTGGCAATAGGGGCTATATAAATACCTAAAATAGAAAGAAGTAACACAAATACAGGATGTAAGAAGAGCAAATCAGATATTGCTAAAAGAAATTAAAAAGTCTACTGCACTGTCCCCTTTCACTGAAGATGCAGAAGTAAAAATACCTCAAAATCCACCTAATAGAGATGGATTAAGGGCTGCATTGTCAAAGATTATAAAGTGTGTTGGTGAAAACTGCACTCAGAGTCACAGTTTATACCAGGATTGAGAGAACCTGCATGCCTGATGAACAAATTTGCAAGGCATCCATATAGTCAAGTCTGCATATATTTAGTGAGCACTACAAGTTGGCTTTTCATTTGACACAAGGCACAGTTCATTTAACATGCTGTGGAAGCAAAATACAAATAAAAGAATGTGATTATGGACCTGCAGAAAGTTCTTTCTACTCTATCTGGTTAGAACTTTTATTTTTTATTCCTATTTCTGCCTATGCATGGCTGTCTCCACTAACCATATCAATGAAGGATAGCTGGACATGTCATTTGACTGAGAAAAGTACAGCTTACCTGTTAAATTCTTCTCTCCTAAATGGCATGCCAAGAAATCTGACCCACTGTGTTTTAAGAGATATTTTTAAAATATGTATTTGGTTAAAAAGGAAAGTTTTTATATTTGATTAAAAGTGTAATGGTGTTTGTTTGAGTGTTATCCTAGAACTACATGCATTTCTCTTTAGGTGCATGTGAACCTTATTTTTCAGCTTTGGAGGTTATCCTCTCACTCATGCCATGTAGTCAGTCTTTTTAGCACTTTATCATATGATCCCCAGCTCTAGTCCACCCCTGTAGCTATTCAATGGGATCCAACCTTTCAGTGAAGAATTGCAAAGTATGCCACCTAAGAAAAAAGAAATTAGCCCTTAAACTAAATTTTTTTCATTATATAGTCCTGTAATTTTTAAGCCTTTATTTGTTTGATTTCAGAAAAAAAATAAAGTGACTTTTTTCATTGATATGCATTAAAAACAGACATCTCTGCTCTTTTCTTTAGTATAAAGACAAATGGGCTGAATCTTCAGCTGTACCTTTTCACCTCCCCCAGTCCCAGGACTGGATGGGGACCAGAATGGGTGATGCTAAAGCCAGCTTTGTACTAGCTAAGGATTCCTCCATATAGGAATGGAATCCTGAGCTGCCCATATAGCCTTGTTTTAAGGTGAACCACCTTTTTCCTCCCTTTGACTCTCTCCTCAAACCTTCCCCTTGCCTCCAGTTCCCTCTCCACACAGGATCTTACTGACTTTTTCAGAGAGAAAGTCAAGAAGATCCAGTGTGGCCTCCTCTCTCCCTGTCTTCCCTCCCACTTCCTTTTTATTCTTCTATCTCAGAAAGCAGTTTCCTATTTCTTCCTCTCCTCTAACCCTTTTCTCTGCACCAGTGACCCCCTATCATCCCAACTTCTTGGTATCCCTACTCCCTATGCCCCTCTCCTTGGCCTCTCACTTTCCTCCGGCTCCTTCCTTTCACACTACAAGCATGCTTTAGTCTTTCCCATATTGCCTTACCATACCTGCCTCTACAACTATCATCTCATCTTCCCTTCATCTCTAAACTCACCAAATGTTCTGTCTACCTCTGCTATTTGGAGTTCCCTTCCTCCATTTCCATCATAGACTCTCTCCAGACTGCCTTCTGCCATCTTCTAAAATGCTTCCCAAAGTCTATAATAATCTCTTCCCGGTCAAAGTTTAGAACTAGTACTCCATCCTCATCCTCCTTGACCTGTCAGCTGCTTGTAGTGCTGTAAACCATGCTCCTTTTTCTTGAAAATTGGCCCTCTTTTGGCTTTCATGACTCTTACGTCTCCTGATTCTTGTCCTATCTTTAATCGCTCTTTCAGTATTTTGTTCAGAGGTTCCTCCTTGTGACACCTCCAGCTTTCTGTGTGGGTCCCAAGTAGCTCCATGGCTCAACCCCCTCCTCTTCTGTCTATACAACTTCTCTGGGTGATCTCATTTGCAAACATGAGTTCAGGTATCATTTCTGTGCTGACTATTCACACATCTAGCACTCCACTCCTGTTCAAACTAAAATTTCATCCAGTCTTCCTGACATTTCCGTGTAGATATCAAGCCGTTGGCTTCAGCTCAGTATGACCATAAGAGAGCTCTTACTCTTTTCTCTGCAAGCCCTCTTTCCTCTCAGTCACTATGGACTGGACCCTTATTGTCCCGTCACTCAGGCCAGAAAACTAAGCATCATGTTTGACTCCCACTCAACTGTATCTCCATATACTTTAATATACTTGTGTATAAAAACACTCCAACAATTTTTGTATTAAAGGTTTTGAAATTACACTGTTTTTATATGCGGCACTATGCATTCAAGTTTAATAACCCTTAAGTAGCTATTAACAGATAAGGAAATGCATATTACCTGAATGTAAAAAATTTAAATGAAAAAATATGTTTCTACTTCAATCATATACATTGAACAAGGCCTGGTTCTGATAGGCGCTAAACATCTCATGCATGGTGGTGAGCATGCCCAGCTACCATTGGTTTGACTGGGAGTTGAGTGAAGTTCAGCACATTGCAGAATCAGGTCTGTAGTGAATACTCCATGATAGATTGGAATGTAGTTTGGTTATACATTTGTACACAGTATTTTAAATAGACACATAGCAATGAGGTTTATGCGAAGAAAAATGTAATCTTGTAGAATTATCAATGTCTTTTTTTTTTTCCACTGTAGCTCAGAAATTGGGCTTAGTTGATCCTCCTTCCTTGCCACTAACAGCAGAAGAGTGGGATAAAGTAAAGCAAAGATCCATAAAACAGGGAGATTCTGTGCAACCTTGTGCAATATGTAGGGAAGAATTTGCACTTCAACCACAGGTACATTTATAACTTTTGGAGTGTATTCTGCACAAAAACATACTTTAAACAGTTATTCACTTATTATTAGTTATTCATTTTCCAAAGTTAGTTATATTAGAAAATTTTAGTTGGAACAAGAGGAAAAAATGAGAGATTCCAACTTGAGATATTTGTTGACTTAATGAGCCTGTTGTGTAACTTATTTTGCTACACTTATTCATTTGCTTTATTTCCATTTTATTTTGGTTTATATGAATTTGGTACTTGTGGAATGAACTGGACTGACAGAACTAAAGTTTAAAGACTATGCAAGAACAAATTCAACAAAGGTGATAGCAGTGAAAAAGTTCCTGCAGCACCCAGTGTGTGTCACAACCCTCATCCAGAGAGAGCTTCCTGTTAGAGGTCAGAAAAGAGTTCAGTCTTCATCCAGACCTCTGACACCTCTACCAAGAATGTCAGTCAAAATACAAGTTGGGGGTGATTTTGGACATGGCTCGACAACACAAAAACAAAGAAGAGTACCGACATCAACTCATTTCATGAGACACAACTATAAGATAAAAGTAAAGGAGTACTAGTGGCACCTTAGAGACTAACCAATTTATTTGAGCATAAGCTTTCGTGAGCTACAGCTCACTTCATCGGATGCAACGAAAGCTTATGCTCAAATAAATTGGTTAGTCTCTAAGGTGCCACTAGTACTCCTTTTCTTTTTGCGAATACAGACTAACACGGCTGCTACTCTGAAAACTATAAGATTGTGAATTTTGGTCAGTAGTGACCTTGGGTGGATTTGAACTAGTGACCTAGATGTGAAAATTCTATTTTGTTATCTTACGGCTGGCTCTGCAAATACTTACTGCCGCGTGGAGTCCTACTGAAGTCAATAGAACTTCTGAAAGTGGTATTCACTATGATCTGTATAAGTGTTTGCAGGATCCAGTTCTTAGATTGCAAGCTGTTTGGGACAGAAATCATGTCTGCTTTTTGTGCTGTGCATCACTGAACACACTGTCCGTGCTCCACAAATAATTTTTATAAAGTTTGTTTTCACTGGTTCCCTTTTACTAAGAGAATGTCAATTATATTGCCTATTTAAAGGATCATTAGACCACATTCTTGACTTTCTAGGTTGTGCAGGCTCCTGCTGCTCAGAAATCCTGGTGTTCCCAGATCCTGAACTATTCCTACACAGGTTTCAGAATGGTAGCCATGTTAGTCTGTATCAGCAAAAACAATGAGGAGCACTTGTGGAACCTTAGAGACTAACACATTTATTTGGGCATAAGCTTTCGTGGGCTGAAACCCACTTCATCAGATGCATGGAGTGGAAAATACAGTAAGAAGACATATATACATACATATATATAAGCCCGTCTTTTCATGTACTCTGTATATGTATCTTCCTACTGTATTTTCCACTCCATGCATCTGATTAAGTGGGTTTTAGCCCACGAAAGCTTATGCCCAAATAAATGTGTTAGTCTCTAAGGTGCCACAAGTACTCCTCATTTTTATTCATACGCATTAAGCTGTCGTATCCTGTACTCTTCAGTTTCCAGTTTTAGCTTTTTTCAAAGTCTCAACACAGTTGAGGATTTCTTCTTCTCTTGGCGCGTGTAACTCTGTTGGGCATCATTGCATTCAGCCCCCAACTCCATAAGGTACTGAGCATCTTCAGCTCCCCTTGACTTAAGTGGAAGTTGAAAACTACTCAGCATTTTACAGCATTACTTACTTGAGGGTAGGGTGAAAGTAATCTAGGCAATTAGGTGTTAAAGGAAAAAAGTTTACTGAAGCAGATAAGCTGTGCGTGGCCTAGTTCTTGCTCTTCTGTAAATCAAAGTGTTAGTCTCTAAAGGGTATCTTGTTAAGGCTGTTTATGTTGTCTGCTGGTACCAGAAGAGGTAGAAGCCAATTATTCTTAGAAATCTTCTTGATGAACCTCAGTAACAGACCTGTCAGACAGGAAAGAGCAATAGCTTCAGATGAGGCCATTTTAACACAGTTTTGTAGCTAAGAAATTTCTGGTCAGTCAGAAGAAAAACCCATATCCCACATGTGGATAATGGGGATTCTATTGAGCATGCTCAGTGGAATCCCTAGCTGTCACTCAAATATCTGATTGCCTCTCCAACCATTATATGGCCAGATCTGAAACTGCCCTGGAGAGAGATGTGGTATAGAATGCTTAATAGGACATTCTTTTGCTGCTGAAAATATTACTCTAGGGGGGGAAAAAACTAATAGACCTCTATATCTAGTCCTGCAAAACTTCCATAGGTCTGTGCCCATTTGGGGTTTGAGCCAACCAAAAATAGCCTAAGTGGCTAAGGCCTTAACCTTAGTTCATCAGAATTATTAATGTACAGTCGTTATTGATTGTGCAATTTACTTTAAAAAAATTGTCTTGTTTTCTTGTGATGCTAGTTTTAAAAAATTAGTTCTTTAGTTATTTGTATCCACAGAGTGAAAATGGTGTGTCCCCAATACAATTTGGTCATTTAGTCACAATTTCTGAGGGCATGTCTGCATTTTACCTTGATGGTTTTATACATCAAATATATGCAGTCTAAGCATAATTGTACTAAACATTTTATTAATATTCCCTCATGTATAATTTTAGAATTACTTAAACAAAAAGGACAAGTAACTAGCTAAAGATGAGAGCTGTTCTTTAGACAGATGTTAATGGTAATTAGGAGGAGAAAACCATTATTCAAAGTTGCTTGTAAGTTTCTTTCATTCTGCATTTTGGGTTATTTTTCTGCTTTGTTTGTTGAACTGGGGTGGGGGCAGTGGGTGCGTTCAAATTTCAGTTTTAGAGGTTGATTATTTACTTTTTGCCTTTTACCACATAGCTACCTATTTAAAAGAAAGTGTAAAATTGCACAAAGATAGGTGGTATGGCCTTGAAGAACAAGGCTGTTCTGCTAAACTCAGGCAGTCTGGCTACCCTTTAGGTCTAAGTTTTAACTAGAGAGAGCAAAAGACAGCACTCATGAAAAGATTACTTTAGATTTGGCACAAAAAAGGGAAATGTCTCTGGAATTCTTTTTGTCCTGCATGTTTCATTAAATTTCTTCCCTCAAGGGAAAAAAGCCACTGTATCTGAAAGCTTTTCCTTTAGCTGGCTGTTTAGCTATTAATCCTTTTGTGTTTGCCAGCTCAGTAATGCATAGTACTTGTTCTAGTTTCACTCCTTCCCCAGTTATTCCTTCCACTAAGGACCAACTGCCTTTTTTGTCTAATGCTGTACGTTTTGTCAGAATAGAGATCACTACCATTTGATATGAGTTTGGGTCAGAAAAAGGTGAAGTTTGCATGAAGCTTGTGAGCACGCTTTCTCAGAGAGCTGTGTGTGCTGCATATCACTTGTTGAAATTTAACTGTTTTCTGGGGGGGAAATATCAGTTTTTATTTTAAATGTATTTTCTCTTGTCATTTTATGGCTCCTCCTTCTCCCCTTCCCCCGCATTTGCTATGGGCTTCTCTATATGAAGTAGTTCAAAATTAATGAATGACCATTTCGTTTCTTTGAGTTGTACTTTATTTTTCTGGTTGCTTCCTTCAGAAGTTTTTTATGCTGTTCATTTATATTTCTCTTTTTAGAATAAAAATTGCAAATATTTAAACTTCATTTTCAATAGATGTCTTTTGCAATACTACTAACAAGCAGGATTGTTAACATTTCTGCATTCAGATTTTTTCTTTTACTTCATGTATTTTTGGTGTTCAGCTTTTAAACTAGTTTAAACTTCAAGCTGTTCTTGTTGTTTTTTTTCTGTGAACAATAGGTGCTGCTTTCATGTTCCCATGTATTTCACAGAGTGAGTAGACCCTGGTTTAACTATTAAAGTATGCAATACAGCATTCTTGTAATTTAAATACTCTAAATCTACTGTAAGCACAATTTCTGGTTTTACAAGAAGGCATTTTGACTCAATAGCATTTACTGTTAGAAACATAATTTACAGATGATATTATTCCGGTTTTACAATGGTACATTTTGCATACAAGGGAAACCCACACGTTTGTATACTGATTACTAATTATGTACATGGAAGTGACAGATAGCTTAATTCATAATATTTCACTCCATGTAAATCTAAAAAGAATTATCATCCTTTTGCTTATTTCCAGGAGTTTATTGATATAAATGTATATTCTTGTAAATATATGCTCTTTTGAATTCACGAAAGGGAAAAAAATGTTCACTTAGTGTAATCTAAAGTGAATCTGGTTTATTTATGAAGAAAAATTAACATTACATCTAAAAATTATAAGTGATTTCTTACATTTTTAAATATTTTTCTAGGCATGCCTGAAAGCTTTTGAAAAGTTTGCAGGTAAAAAGACCTGTCCTTTGTGTAGAAAGAAGCAGTATCAGACCAGAGTAATACATGATGGGGCGCGTCTGTTTAAAATAAAGTGTATTACGAGGTAAGGATTACTTCCAATAGAGCTGTTGTCACTGAACAACATTTATTTTGCTGTATTGCTCCAAGTTACATACTGAAAATTCAGCACTGGTGGATGCACTGTAAATATTTAAATATTTGAAAAATTTCAAATGATTGTTTCAAGTAATTATTTTGTTCTCTTTAAATTTATATTTGCATTTGTTGAACATTGACATTTTGTTTTCAGCAGAATCCAAGCTTGCTGGAGAGGGTATATTGTTAGAAAATGGTATAAAAACTTGAGAAAAACAGTACCTCCTCAAGATAGCAAATTAAGAAAAAAATTCTTTGAAGCAAAGGTATGTTGCATTTGTTTCTTCAGTCTCAGTTAATGTTCTGTTCTTTCCTAGTCTTCCATTAAATCAAACATCCTCAAAGCCTCAGTCAGTCCCTTTCTAGGGGCAAAGAGTGACAAACACTGTAATGTAGGCCTTACGTAAAACACAGATTGTGTTTTACATAAGGCCTAACCTGTGCTCAATAACAATATTTCTTTTCGTTTGGGATTTTTCTTTCCCTTTCTCATAAATCCCAGGAATCTGTTTTTCCTGTAGAAGTACATTAAGCAGATATGGTAGTAAAATAAATGAATTGTAGATTTCGTTATTAGTCACTGGTCTTTCATAACTACTCCAAAAATTGGACTGGATAGTCCAGTTCCAGAACACTCTTACACATCCTCCAAATCCAGCTCAGAAGTGAGAACATAATCATAGAATCATAGAATCATAGAATATAAGGGTTGGAAGGGACCCCTGAAGGTCATCTAGTCCAACCCCCTGCTCAAAGCAGGACCAATTCCCAGTTAAATCATCCCAGCCAGGGCTTTGTCAAGCCTGACCTTAAAAACCTCTAAGGAAGGAGATTCTACCACCTCCCTAGGTAACGCATTCCAGTGTTTCACCACCCTCATAGTGAAAAAGTTTTTCCTAATATCCAATCTAAACCTCCCCCACTGCAGCTTGAGACCATTACTCCTCGTTCTGTCATCTGATACCATTGAGAACAGTCTAGAGCCATCCTCTTTGGAACCCCCTTTCAGGTAGTTGAAAACAGCTATCAAATCCCCCCTCATTCTTCTCTTCTGCAGGCTAAACAATCCCAGCTCCCTCAGCCTCTCCTCATAACTCATGTGTTCCAGACCCCTAATCATTTTTGTTGCCCTTCGCTGGACTCTCTCCAATTTATCCACATCCTTCTTGAAGTGTGGGGCCCAAAACTGGACACAGTACTCCAGATGAGGCCTCACCAATGTTGAATAGAGGGGAACAATCACGTCCCTCGATCTGCTCGCTATGCCCCTACTTATACATCCCAAAATGCCATTGGCCTTCTTGGCAACAAGGGCACACTGCTGACTCATATCCAGCTTCTCGTCCACTGTCACCCCTAGGTCCTTTTCCGCAGAACTGCTGCCTAGCCATTCGGTCCCTAGTCTGTAGCTGTGCATTGGGTTCTTCCGTCCTAAGTGCAGGACCCTGCACTTATCCTTATTGAACCTCATCAGATTTCTTTTGGCCCAATCCTCCAATTTGTCTAGGTCCTTCTGTATCCTATCCCTCCCCTCCAGCATATCTACCACTCCTCCCAGTTTAGTATCATCCGCAAAGAGTGCAATCCACACCATCCTCCAGATCATTTATGAAGATATTGAACAAAACCGGCCCCAGGACCAACCCTTGGGGCACTCCACTTGATACCGGCTGCCAACTAGACATGGAGCCATTGATCACTACCCGTTGAGCCCGACAATCTAGCCAGCTTTCTACCCACCTTGTAGTGCATTCATCCAGCCCATACTTCCTTAACTTGCTGACAAGAATACTGTGGGAGACCGTGTCAAAAGCTTTGCTAAAGTCAAGGAACAATACATCCACTGCTTTCCCTTCATCCACAGAACCAGTAATCTCATCATAGAAGGCGATTAGATTAGTCAGGCATGACCTTCCCTTGGTGAATCCATGCTGGCTGTTCCTGATCACTTTCCTCTCATGCAAGTGCTTCAGGATTGATTCTTTGAGGACCTGCTCCATGATTTTTCCAGGGACTGAAGTGAGGCTGACTGGCCTGTAGTTCCCAGGATCCTCCTTCTTCCCTTTTTTAAAGATTGGCACTACATTAGCCTTTTTCCAGTCATCCGGGACTTCCCCGGTTCGCCACGAGTTTTCAAAGATAATGGCCAATGGCTCTGCAATCACAGCCGCCAGTTCCTTCAGCACTCTCGGATGCAACTCGTCCGGCCCCATGGACTTGTGCACGTCCAGCTTTTCTAAAAAGTCCCTAACCACCTCTATCTCCACAGAGGGCTGGCCATCTCTTCCCCATTTTGTGATGCCCAGCGTAGCAGTCTGGGAGCTGACCTTGTTAGTGAAAACAGAGGCAAAAAAAGCATTGAGTACATTAGCTTTTTCCACATCCTCTGTCACTAGTTTGCCTCCCTCATTCAGTAAGGGGCCCACACATTCCTTGGCTTTCTTCTTGTTGCCAACATACCTGAAGAAACCCTTCTTGTTACTCTTGACATCTCTGGCTAGCTGCAGCTCCAGGTGCGATTTGGCCCTCCTGATAACTTTCCTACATGCCCTAGCAATATTTTTATACTCTTCCCTGGTCATATGTCCAACCTTCCACTTCTTGTAAGCTTCTTTTTTATGTTTAAGATCCGCTAAGATTTCACCATTAAGCCAAGCTGGTCGCCTGCCATATTTCCTATTCTTTCGACTCATCGGGATGGTTTGTCCCTGTAACCTCAACAGGGATTCCTTGAAATACAGCCAGCTCTCCTGGACTCCTTTCCCCTTCAAGTTAGTCCCCCAGGGGATCCTGGCCATCCATTCCCTGAGGGAGTCGAAGTCTGCTTTCCTGAAGTCCAGGGTCCACCTTGGGGCTCTCTCCCTATAGAACAAGAAGCAGAAGCAAGGCTAGTTCTTCAAGTAGTGTCTTTATGGAGGCTCCATTTGAGGTGTTCATGCTTCTTTGATTGGAGATTTTTGGCATCAGTGTCTGTTTGGTGTGTGCATACACTGTAGCTATCTTCATGCCCTGTACTGAGGGTATATTGGACTGTGGTGGACAAATTCCCCTCAGTTCCTTCTCAACCACCTTGCCCAGAGAAGGAGCATCCTCAGCATTCACTTGCAATTCTACTTATTAACTAGTTTTTAGTCAGTTTTATTCTTTTCTGGTTTATACCTTTTATTTCTTTAGTTAGTTTAGTGTGCAGTTCTTTTTTTCCAGTTTGCCAAGGCTTTTGGCTCCTGCTATACACACGTTCCTCTCCCTCCCCGCCCAATCCCTCTTGACAGTCAGGGAAGTCCTCAGGGAAGCCTATTTTTGTTGGGGTATGCCTATATCTGCAAGCTTCAAACCTTGCCTCATTTGCCAGGAGTCCTTCCCAGTTAGTGATGGCCATTCACACTGTATATGCCACCTTGGGGATATACACATGCTTGCTATGTAAGTTCTGCACAACTTTAAAAAGTTGCTCTAGGAGAGAGAGAGAGAGAAATAAAACTCCATCTTCTAATAATGGAGCACCACCCCCTTTGGATCCTTGTACAGCGGGCTCTAAGGGTATGTTTACACAGCAAAGAAAACCTGCAGGGTGGGATGGTCCCAAACCTCAGGCTCCAGGTCGAGTCTGGAAGTCTACACAGCAATGAAACAGCTGCACAGGCCAGCCATGAGTTTTTCTTTGCTGTGTAGACATATCCTGAGTGACCTTCGTGCCCCATCATCCTCTGCAGCTCGCTCAGCTGCTGAAGCTTTGAGACCTGTTAGAGACACAGGGAAGACCTCATCTAGGAGATCCATGAAATCTCCTCAGAGAGAACACTGTTCTAAAAAGACCTGCTGCAGCAGAGACCCCGTACTCCTAAAAAGATTTCGACGGCGGCTTCAAGTGCTCCTGGTACCAAGACTTCCAGATCAAAGTCCACAAACTCTCATAAGTTGCAGGCTTCCCATCACTTCGTACCAAAGCCGCAGCAGCATTGAAGCATGAGCAGAGTACAAGAAATAAGGATCCTGTACCTAAGAAGTTGGTACTGCCTGCACCAACTGCTGCATCAGTACCTCAGTTGGCAATTCCGCAAGTGTTGTTGCCTCCTTCGGTATCACAGCTTTCTACCTCTTCACTAGATCTTCACACAAGCCCATGCAGTACCACAGAAGTTCAGATTCTCCAGGGACCTGTTTTTGTCTCTAATGAGCCTGAGTCTCCTTTACTGAACTCAGACTCCCGGTATCGCAAACCTGCATTATCTCTGGTACCTCAGGGATCGCTGGTACCTCTTAGTTTCCCACACAGTCAGACACTCACTGCACCCTCATCTTCTCCACCATTACACTATATAAATGAGAGCTCTTCAGACTCTCAAATATCAGTTCAGGACTCTCCTCACTGTTTACCCAGACCTGACTCTCCTGAAATTATTCAGCCCAAGGACATTCCGCTGTCTCCATGACCTAGGGTGGTTCAACAACCTCCTGGATATGACCAGGGCTAGATGCCTCCACAGTTTTCTTAGGGGCCGCCTCAATGGCCATACTGAGACCACTGAGCATTATAATCACCAGTAGTTTTCCAAGGCACATAGCATTCATGTGGAACACCAGAGACAGCATTCCTCACTCTCATGCATTCCCCTTAGCAATCATGGTTGCAGAAGGAAATGTTTGAGGAGCAAGAAAGGAGGGCTGACAAGGAGCATACTCTGCAAACAAACATATCATCATCATCTTCAAATGAAGCGGTTATGCCTCCTTTGCTTGTTGCAGATGACTTCAAACAGTTCCGGACTTGATGAAGAGAGTGGCGAACACCCTCCAAATTCCATTAGAAAAAAATCCCAAAGGCCTGCCTGTGAATAAAGTGCAGTTGAAGCCTGCCAAAAATGATTTAGCAAACCCCTGACATTGCCCCCTGACAGCTCCAGAGAGCAGATAAAAAATACTACATCCTGGCGGGGGCTCAGTGTCTTTATTTTCTCATCCCGTTCCCAGCACCCTCGGAATGGATGCAGTTAATGAATGGAACAGACAGCACCATTCAAAAGCTACCCCACACGACATAGACCAGAAGTGTTTGATTCACTTGGTAGCAAGAGTTATTCGTCTGCCCCCCCAGCAGTTTAGAATTGTGAATTACCGGGTGATGCTTACAAAACAGTCACATCAACTATGCCAAATTTAATTATCTTATTGAGCATTTCCCACAAGAACACTGGGAGCAATTTCAGGCTGTCATTGTGAAGGGACAGCTCCTGGTGAGGATGACTTTACCGGTGCCTCTTAACAC